TTTGACCTTGATAATATGGTCACCAGGAACGGTCACATCAACAAAGAGGTTTTTTTTTGTTTTGTTTTTTTTTTTTTTTTTTCAACGCCGGTGATCTAGTTGGATCTGTTTGGATGTTGAAGTCCCACAAGATATTGACTTTTTTTCGTTTTCGATCACCTCCTGCGATTTGTTGCGATACGATTTCGCGTCAACTTGAAAACAATACTTCTCAAATAAGCATCAGTGTCTATGAGAAAACACTCTGTCATGGTGACGCATGTATTCTTTCTGCGCAAGCATTCCACAAGTGCTTATTATTTCCTTCCGGGTCCCAACCAGAGACCAAAGGTCAGAAATAACATCATGACATTTTCCACTGAACATTTTTGTAAAAAAATAAAAATGAAAAATCCTAAGATTACACACATTTTTGCATAGATAAATCCCTTCGTAAGGTGTGAGCTGTACTTCCGCGAACAATTTTGTATTTCTTTAAGGCCTGGGCTGCCAAGGATTCCAATAACGAGTCTACCAGAACCTTTTCCTATCAAAACCAGAGCCCCAACCACAATTGGAATTATTGATGTCCTGAAGTGCCACATTTTTTTTAGATTTCCACTACAAGATCGTTGTATTTTGATAGTTTTTTGGAGATCTTTAAATTGTACATTCTGTAGGGACTGCTATATCAATAAAAAAAAGCGCATGATGTTTTTGCAGTCTTTGAACATTATGTCTAGGTGATTAACTTTGATTGTTCTGTCTGTGTGTATTGCAAAGTCTCATAAAATTGTTACAGGTGATAATGGCGAGCCCATTACTAAGCCCTAATCTTGTCGATATATGTGTGATCCCATTCCTAAGTGTGTTGTCTGTGTACAGAAAGCAAGGGGCTCGCTATTATCACCAGCAATGGCGAATGGAATACTTTGAGGAAATGGCATTATAATCTATATCTCTAAAGCCAACTCTATGGTTAAGGTACGTAGATGAGACCTTCATACTCTGGCCACACCAGGAAGACGTTTAGGTTCTACTGGACCATGTGAACTCAGTAAAACCTCCTATACAGTTCACGATGGAGAAAGAGAGTAACAACACACTCCCAATCCTGGATGTTCTAATATCTCGAGCAGAGCATGGGTTCAAAACATCTCTATACCGTAAGCCGACATTCAACGGACAGTACCTCAATTTCAACTCCTACCATCTATACAGCGTAAAGAAAAGGATCGTCCGCTGCTTACAACACCGAGAAAAAGCCATAAGTGGCGACCTAGAGATATTAGATAAAGAATTGGTCAGTATGTAGTACCCTACAACTTAACAACTACCCTGGGTACAGGGTAGCAGCCCCAATAAACTGGGATAGGCGGGTACAAGAGGAGGACAACAATACTTACAAAACAGTTTGCCTGCCTTATGTGAAAGGGTTATCAGAGAAAATACAAAGGATTTGCGGTCCATATAACATCAGGACAACCTTCAAAAGCTGGATGATACTTCGCAGATATCTCTCCCGTGTAAGAACCCCCATAGAGGAGAACATGACTAAAAACTATGTGTACGCTCTCCCGTGCAGCTGCGGAAAGAAATATAAAGGAGGGACAGGCCACCCCCTTAAGGTAAGGCTTCAAGAACACCAGAAAGCTGTAACACGAGGGGAAGTAGAAAAATCAGCCGTGGCTGACCACATGTGGGGAGAAAAAGGAGATCCCCGCCCGCTGTGGGATCAGGTTGAAATCATAGACAAAGAAAATCATTTGAAAATTCGTGAATTTTAATTTCGTAAGGATCAGCACATATGCTAAGCCACAAAAATCTCCTGAGCCGACCAAGCATAGAAATGGATACAATATGGGAACCAGTGATAAGGGGTGCCAGGGAAAAGCAATAATAACAACGAAAATTGCAATATGAGCTCTGCTAAAAAAACATGCAATGATAAGAGCAAAAAAAATGCAATATAAGCACTGGTAAAAAAATGTTTGCTGAAGACATTACGCTTATAATACCCAGAAATTCGTAACCAGATGTCCTCAAGTTCACGTAGCACAGTGGATAAAGGCGTTAGTTAGCTCCAGTGACAGGACCCAGAGACCGTGAGATCAATACCTGGTTAAGGCGGTGGAGAACTTGGAGAGGGGAATTAACAGGAGATAACTGATATCCATTAGACATGGCACGTGGAATTAGAACAGCCTACCCCAGCAAGCGAAATAAAGGGTTCAGTTCGACGGTCGGAGCGTACAACGACCAAACGTTGTGATAAATATGGCAACAAAGATGAGGAGAATAGTCCGAATAATGTTAATAGTGACACAAGATTGTCAGTTGCTTCTAGATATTAGTCACAGAATCTGCATTTGGGGTTAACACAATTTTTCAGTATGTTTTCTTGGACACAAGAATAAAAATTACGTGTTCAGCTTTTAATCCTGCAGTACACAACCACTGATGAATACGGGGTTTTGTCTACATAAGCTTGTCTTGCACGGGCAGAGTATTGACCATGAAGATGTTATCTTGCTATTGTTTCTGCATTTGGTCGATTACGTTTGCTTTTGCTTTCCTTTTTAGGTTCTTTAACGCTGCAGTGGGTGGATTATGGTTTATTTACACTTCTTCACCAACTTGAAATTCCCTTTTGAATTTGCTGGTTTCTTTTATTACTGAATAAAGTTTCTCATTTCTTTGACACAGATCATCATTCAGTGTTATGTAGTTTCCAGATATCTTTGAAGACCAATTGTTGTAGTTTTGTAAGACGGTTCTACTTGAACCAATCCTCTGCCTCCTTCGAATTTGGACATACAGACGATCAACATCGACCTTAGTATGATGCATGCGGTGGCGAGAAGCTTTCTCGTTTTTATATACATTCCCCTAATGTAAGTTATGGTCCACTTAAGGATGTTGAAACCGTATTGCACCACAGGAAAAGCCAAATTGTTTATGGCTGATATTCTATTTTGTGAATTCAACTCAGACGCTTAAAACTGTAGTATTTGTTTGTTTCTTCCTTCTTTCTTCATTTGGGTATTCTCTATTCCATCTCCTTTGCTGACTTCTAGGTATTTATGTACTTCTTCTTTCTGCATTTGATCCATTGCATTTGAATTTGTAAAACAGTTCTAGTTGAACTAATCCTCTGCCTCCTTCGGATCTGGACACATGTTGAAACTGTATTGAACCACAGGAACAGCCAAATTGTTTATGGCTGATATTCTGTTTTCTGAATTCTGCTTTGTATTTAACACCAAACGCACACTTCTGTAGTTTTCTTTTCTTACTTTCTCCGTCATTTAGGTATGCTGTATTAAAACCCCTTTTATTATTATTATTACTATTATTGTTATTCCGAGTAGAGATTATTGGTAGTTCTCTCAGTAGATTCTCATTTAATCGTCATACTAAAGAACTAGATTATTGCTATTAATTTAACAGCTGAAGAAGAAGAATAATGCATTATGATAAAATGTAACAAGATGATAAAAATACATCTCAAAAGCTTTTTTTACTGGTTGTTAGTGAGTTGTATTTAATGTTATCCGAAGGAATAACTTCTGATTCAAGCGACTTAAACAAATACTGATTATATAGAAATGTTTTTATTATCATTTTTTTTTTTTAAATTATATGTATTATCTTTTCTTTCTATCCTAGTCCTTGTCTGTCGCAGGTAGGCGCCTAGATGCGTGTACGTAAACACACAGACCAATTGTACTTCTGTAAGTTAGCCTCTGCTCATTTCATTTGCTATTGCCTCATTTTCATTTTCTCGTGCCTCATTTTCATTTTCTCGTGCCTCGTTTTCATTTGCTCACGCTTTTTCACTGCTGTTTGGCTGAATAGGGAACAGTTATTAACAAAGTCATCACTAATTAATGATATGCTACTCTGTTTTGTCGTTCTCTTTTAAAAGCCTCGATTGTTGCATGTCGACATCGTATACACGCAAACACTTCGCTTTTCTAATGCTGCCCACCCTAAGGATATCATAAAAAATCTTTTTTTGTAAAATAACTGTTTGGCACAACTTCAATCTTCTTCCTCTCTTCTTTTTTTTTTTTTTGTTGTTCTTCTCTTTTTGTTCTTTGTTGTTGTTTTTCTTCTTTCGTTTTCTTCTTTTTCTTTTTTGTTCTTCCTTTTCTCTTTTAGTCCTTCACGTTTTATTTTTTTTATTGTTCTCTTTTTGCTGCTCTTCTTTTTTGTTGTTGTTCTTTTTGTTCTTTGGCTTCTCTTTTTCTTCTTCTTCTCTTTTTGTCCATTTTCTCTTTTCTTCTTCTCTTTTCGTTTTCATTTCATTTAGTTTTCTCGCATTTCTTCTTCTTCTCTCTTTTTGTTCTTACTCTTCTTCTCTCTTTTCTTTTATTTCTTCTTTTCTTACCGTTTTATCATCTCATTCTTTTATTTCTTGTTCCACTTCTCCCTTTGTGTTCTCACCTCCCCCTTCTCACTTTTATTGATATTCCTTATTTTTACTTTTATATTTCATTCTTCTTCTTCCTCTCCTTCTCTTTGTTCTTGTTGTTGTTGCTGTTGTTGTTGTTGCCGTTGTTGTTGTTGTTGCCGTTGTTGTTGTTGTTCTTCTTCTTATTCTTTTCTTCTTCTTCTTCTTCTTCGAGCATTTATTCATTTTTATTCTCTCCTCTTCTCAATTATATGCTATTCTTTTTTTCGCTCTCTTTAAAGACATCTACGAGGCATGAACTAGGCAAAATGGAGAGATAGTGTAGTTGGTAGGAATCTGCCCCTCTTGAAAATCAGCATTCAAAACCCTGGCTTTTAATTGAACTTGATGCTAGAAATCATTTATTCCGATGGGAAATTCACCAACCAAACTTTACCACTCTCTTTCTTATTTGTATTTTTCTTTCTTTCTTTCTTTCTTTCTTTCTTTCTTTCTTTCTTTCTTATCTCCCTCTCTATTTCTCTCTCTTTCTATATATATATATATATATATATATATTTCATATTTCTCTTTATTGCCCTTTACTAATTCCATATTTCCTTCTATGTTACATATTCCCTTCTTTATTCTAGGGAACTTCTTTTTCCTTGTCTTCTTTTTCTTCTTCTTCTTCTTCTTCTTCTTCTTCACTTTTTATATTTTAATACCCTTCATTTCTTATTCTCTTGCTAATTCACCTTTTATGTTTTTTTTCCTCTTTTGGCATCATCATTATTCTCCTTAACATTTCATTTATTCGTTTTCCCTTTTTTTTTTATCTTATTCGCTTTTTTTCACACACTTGCCCTTTCTTTCTTTTTTTTATCCTCCTCCCTTTACAAAGAGAGCAAAAGAAAAATTGAAACAAGAATTGAAAACGAAGTGGGTGTGTGCGTGTGTACACACCCACTTCGTTTCCTTTTCATCTCTCACTTTCTCACTTACTGTCTTTCTTTTTTCCTCTTTTCACTTACTCTTACTTTTTTCTTCACTTTCATTTTTTGCTCTTCTTCTTCTTCTACTACACTATTTCTTTATCTTTCTTTTTCCCTTTCCTTTTTATCTCTTCTTCGCTTTTCTTTCTCTTTAAAACATTCCTCCATCAGTTCTAAATTTCCAATGAAATTGGCTAAGTATACGGGGAAACATGTCTGACCACAGGTGGTCCTTCAACAACTTTCCCTTCCATCCAACGACAATAAATTTGGAAAATTTATTTTTAAAAATAAAAAGTAATTAAGCGAAAAAAATCCTCCTGCGGCAATGCAGACACAAGCAAACCGGAATCCGTCTTTCTGCCATTAACCTTTTTCTTCAAAACTTTTTTCAATCTTTTCTTAATATTTTCATTTATATTAGGCATGTCATTAATTATCTGCCTTTTCTTGTCTTGTTAAAACCTCTTATAACTTCTTCAATTCTTCCCCTATCAAATTTGACTCTCACTATTTGTCTTTTCCCTAACCAAGGTATTATCTATCTATCTATCTATCTATCTATCTATCTATCTATCTATCTATCTATCTATCTTATACTGTTTCTATTTATTCATTATCTATCTATACATCTTATACTGTTTCTATCTCTGTATGTAGGTCTATCCCTATCTATCTATATAGGTCTATTCCTATCTCTCTCTCTCTCTCTCTCTCTCTCTATATATATATATATATATATATATATATATATATATATATATATCATTATCTATCTATCTATCTTATACTGTTCCTATCTATGTCAGTCTATTCCTATCTATCTATCTATCTATCTATTCATCTTATACTGTTTCTATCTATGTAGGTCTATTCCTACCTATCTATCTTATACTGTTTCTATCTCTCAAACTTATACTGTTTCTATCTATCTATCTATCTATCTATCTATCTATCTATCTGTCTGTCTGTCTGTCTGCCTGTTTGTTTGTCTTATACTGTTTGTTTCTTTCTATCTATCTTATACAGTTTCTATCTCTCTAACTTATACTGGTTCTATCTATGTCCGTCTATTCCTATCTATCTATCTATCTATCTATCTATCTATCTATCTGTTTCTATGCATCTATCTATCTTATACTGTTTCTATGTCGGTCTATTCCTGTCTATCTATCTATCTATCTATCTATCTATCTATCTATCTATCTATCTATCTAAGAGTGTTCGTCTTTCTACACTCTCTCTCTCTCTCTCTCTTTCTCTCTCTTCTTCCCTCTTTCTCTTCCCTCTTTCTCCATGTCCTTATGTCTACACATTTCACTTCCAGCTCATCATCTTTCATCGTTCTTACGTTTCTTTTTCTTCTTTTTCACATGCATCCACAACCACATATATGTGTGTGTGTGTGCGTATATATATATATATATATATATATATATATATATATATATATATATATATATATCGTGTTTTTTCTCTCAATAAAAAATCCTTCTTTATTTTCTCTACCCCAATCTCCTTTTTTACTTCACTTCTCTCCTGTCTTTCTTTATCTGTATGAATTTCGTGTTTTGTTTTCTTACAAGATGTCTTTCTTTTTACGTCATTCTCTCTCTTTCTTTCTGTGCCCGTGACTCTCCTTTTCTTTTGCTCTCCTTCCTTGCTCTTCTTATTTTACTCAAATCCCTTATTCCTCTCCCTACGATATAATTCTTGCTTTCCCTTCTGGTCGTATTCTTGTCCATTGCGATGCATTCTTCTTCCTTCTTGTAAAACCTTATTCCGATTTTTATCATTCCTTTACCGCCAAACGCTCCATAAATGAAGCCTTGTGTCAGCAGTGGATTAGTCCAGCTTTCTCCGCATTATTCTTCGCTTATCAATTTACCTTTTTTTTAAATGTTTTCTTTCTTCGACATAAAACTTACTTTCTTCACCTTGATTCGTAGTCCTTTCCTTTTTACACTTACCATTTTGTAGATCTTAATTCACTTACCTTTTCATATTTAATAAGCTTACATATATGTCGTTGTCTTTTTTTTATAGTGAGTTAACTTTTGCTTTTCCTCTCTTTATCCTCTCTGTTTTATTTCTCTTATCTGTCATTACTCTCCTTTTTCATTTCTCTTTTCTCTACTTTTTCTTTTTTCTTTCTTTTCCCAATTTACTCATATTTTTCTTGCTCTTGTCTTTGTCTATCTTTCACTTTTATTTGGCTTATCTCTTCTTACTCTCCTTTTTTTCTTTCTCTTCCCACTTTTCTTTCACTTAATTGTCATATATCTTGTTACTTGTTTATATCTTGTTACTCTCCTTCTTCTTTCCCTTATGTTCCCTTACTCTTCTCTTTCTTTTTATCTCCCTTACTCTCCTCTATTCTTTCTCTATCTCTACTTTCTCTCCTTTTTATTCTTTCTTTCATCGCCTAATTTTAACTTTCTTTCTTCTGCAGTTTTCTGTTCATTTCATTGGCTTACCTTTCTTTATAATCTTTGCTCTTTTCACTTAAATCTCTTTATTTTTCATCAATTAATTCTCTTCTTCTTTTTCTTCTTCTTCTTCTTTTTCTTCTTCTTCTTCTTCTTATTATTATTATTATTATTATTCACTTCTTTTCCCTTAAAATTTCTCCTTCGTCTTCACACTCTCTCACTTCTCTAAATTACTAGTCATTTCCCTCTATATATTTTCTTCATTGTCTATTTTCTGTGTCATTTCTTCCTGTCTTTATCTTCTTCAACTTTTTCCGCCCAACTTCTTCAATATGAAATTCCCAACACAAATTCAGCATCCCATATCTTTTTACTGCTTTTTTTCCATTCTTTATCGAATTCGTCTACCGCCTTATCCTCTTCCTTTGCCCATATTTCTAATATTAATTCATACCCACCATTACTGTTTCTCACCAGTCGAGTTGCTCCATAGTTACAATCTTTCCTTCAGGCTATCTTTTCCCATTACTGGCATATAACCACTGTCTTTTTCTTAAAAAATAATAAAAAATATTCTTTCTCAAATCAAGACGACTATTTCTCTATTTGGTTTTTCTCTTCTTTATATCCTTTTTTGTTTGTTTGTTTGCATTTTTTGTTATTTTTTTTTTTTTTTGGAGGGGGGAATTTTCATTTCGATTTTTGTCTTTTTTCTTTTATTTTTTAAACTGTAGAGTTTGTTTATTCACCAGCTTTTCTTGTCTATTCCTCACCTCTTCCCCATAACATTTTCCACTTCTAGTCTTGTATTACATTTTTATTCCGGTTTTTCATTTTCAAATTCATTTTTGCTTTCTTCTTTTATTTTCTTGACGTCACTTTACAGTCCGTTTTTCATTTTTTCGGCTTTTGTTTTTCATTGTTATTTTCTTTTCCATTTTCTTTTCTTTTTTTTTTTTTTCTTCTTTCACTTTTAACAGTCTCCGTTTTCAGGCCTGTCTTTTTCCCTAATTAAGAAAAACTGCAATTTTTAGTAAACAATATCGTAACATGAACACTATTAATAACAATGATTTTAATAATTTCTTATTTTCTTATAATAATAATAATAATAATTATAATAATAATTATAATAATAATGAAGAAAATGGAAAAGAAATGAAGCAGTTATTGTTAATTATTATTTATGCTCATTAGGTTTTCTAACAACATTAACTGGTAGCTTTAACGTGGGATCAAGTGACAACAAATGTTTTCAGTAGTTCAGCACTGTCTATCATATTCTCAATATAACATTGTCAGTAGAATAATTTAAATTCTTTTTCAGACTTTTAATTTTTCCACTCTTTTATGGAAGATTTCTAATTTTTTCAGTCTTATGAAAAACTTATTTTTCCAGTCTTTTATAGAAGTCTAGCAGTAGAGCCCGGCGTTGCCCGGGGATATAACAGTAAGAGATAGATGAAGTATCGACCATCATAAAGACTGAAAAATAAAATTGACAAAGATTATTGTTTAAGGTTGACGGACACGCATGTCTTAATTAGATTTTTTGTTTTGTTTAGTTTTTTTTTTTTGTTTGTTTGTTTGTTTTACGAATTGGTAAAACCCAAACTCAAGAAAAAACATTGTTTTCAATCGTTATGAGTCTACCGATTGAATAGAATTTTATTATAAACAATTGTCTTGTAAATGGAATTTTTAAAGCATTCTGAATGTAAAAATAAAGAAAAAAAGTGTACAAGACAATAAGAAACACTACCTCCAAAAAAAAGTGAAGTTTTGTTGAAATCGGTTAAAAAATGTAGGAAATCCGATCCCATATATAAACGAACACACACACACGCACAAACAACTTGGGTTTTATAATAAGTATAACTCGATATGAGTTGTTCCCGTTTCATTCTCGCGATAGCGATGCCTCTTAATCGTGTTTTCAAATTGATTTCGTGCAAAAACAATTGTGCTTTTCCAATTTTGGGCGCTGTCAGAACCACCGCAAGGTAATTATACGTAGTCCTGTGAAGTTTTGTTGAAATCGGTTGAAAAATGTAGGAAATCCGATCCAATATATAAACGAACAGACACACACACACACACACACACACAGCCTGGGTTTTATAAGTATGATTGCTAATTTTTCCAGTCTTTTATAAAAAAAAATCTTATTTTTCCAGTCTTTTATGGAAGATTACTAATTTTTCCAGTCATCTATAAAAAAAAATCTTCTTTTTCCAGTCTTTTATGGAAGATTTCTAATTTTTCCAGTCATTTATAAAAGAAAAATCTTATTTTTCCAGTTTTTTATGGAAGATTACTAATTTTCCCAGTCTTTTATAAAAAAAAAAACAAAAAAAAAACTTATTTTTCCAGTCTTTTATGGAAGATTTCTAATTTTTCCAGTCTTTTATGGAAGACTTTTAATTTTTTTCAGTTTTGTAGGAAAAAATTCAAATTTGTCTAGTCGTTTATACAATTTATTTTGTGGTGGCGGGAATGTTACCAGTACATCTATAAACGCTGGCCGGAATATCGTCACCCTCATATTCGACAATTCTATCATTTCTTTGGTCAGGTGAATATATTTTCATCTCTGGTCACTTTATTTCAATTTTACTCTGTTGTCTGAAAGAAAAGAAAAAACGACATCAGTTCTCCAATAAATGGTATTCATCTTCATTACAATGATTTTATATGGTCTTCTCTCCTCGACTGCTTTAATTTGCAAGTCTGAAGGATTCTTATTTTTCTATTCTTCAGGACATCTGTTTTATTAATATGCCATTGATATCTAAGTTCACACTCGCCCCAGTAGATTATCTTATACTTATTTCTGGGTGCGCGCCTTGTTTAGTGGTTAAGGGTGCAGAGAATACGATGAGTGTGTCGAGTTCAATTTTCCTATCGAGACATCTGTACGAACACGCCTAGAAATGTTAGAAACTATCTCATCCCTCCGCAGCTAGCAGGGCAGACTGGACCCTCTAGCCTTGTTTGGTAATGTCTGGCATGTTGCGTTTGTGGCTTTTTACACCACGCGGAATATCTCCAGAATCAATATACATGCATGTGACATCGTTCAATTATCAAAGACCTTGTTAAGGTTTCGAATACAACCAGTCTAGGAGATGTAAGACTAACATCCATAAAAACTTACTTCCTACTGAAACAACAGCATCAAGAGCTAGGGCGATAATGCTGTGGACCTATATACACCACAGGGTCAACATACTACGTACACCGTTGAGCATTTCTATGTGATGTTACGATTATCAAGCGTGTCTTGCTAGATCAATTACGATTCAGTAGTGAGTTCGATCCTCACTGGGTGGTGTATGCTTTCGGTCTTGAGTCGCATATAAGCTTCACATAATATATAAGGCATCATTCGATTATCGTTGACCTTGTGAGAGTTTTCGAGTACCGCATTTTAAAAGCATCTTAAGCGACAACTGATAGCTGCCCAATTTCTAACGCTTAAACCAGTTTCGATTCAGGCTCAAATATTCATTTCCTTTCACTTATCAGAACAGACAGGCCTCTCTCTTTAGCTTTTTGGTTAACAACCAGTCAACGAGAAAGACAACTCTGAATTCAAAAGCGGTTGACTGCATGGATAGCAATTTTACACTGTAAAAACCTTCTCGTTACAGAAATCAAAGCAACGTGGAGAGGCTGTGACCCTATATTCCGCAGGAAAGGTTATAGGGTTAACAACAATATTTGTACTCCTCCTGAGCTAACTTTCTTTTCTTCTTATGTGCCGTGTCCCTTAACGACGTAGGCGACCATGGCTGTCCACTTCCACCTATCCCTTGTAGCTCTCAGTAAGTTTATCACTTTGCTACTTCCCCCAGGCCGTGTTCTGTCATCCACTAGGTATGTCATGCGTTTCTTTCCCTTGCCTCTCTTTCCCTCTATTCGACCTGTGAGTATCAGATTCTCCAAGCCTTCCTTTCTCATTACGTGTCCCAGAAATTTCAGCTGCCTTTTCTTGATGTTAATTATAAGCTTCCTCCTTGTTTACATTCTCTCCAAAACTTCATCGTTGCTCACACGATCTGTACATGATATCCTTAGCATCTTTCTGTAGAACCATACGTCCGCTGTCTCGAGTCTCTTCTTCTTCTCTGAGGAGACCGTCCAACATTTGCTGCCGTAAAGGAGAACAGATGTAACGTAGCAGCTCAGTACTCTGTTTTTTTTTTGTTACCAAAGAAATCCCCCTGTCTCATAATACACTGCCTAGCTTTTGGAATGCGTCTTTGGCCATCCAAATACGTCTTCGGATCTCAGTGTCGTACTTACCGTCCTCTGTCAAAACACTTCCCAGATATTTAAATTTCTGCATTTGCTTGATTTTAGTCTCCCCGAGCTGTAAATCGCATTTCGGGCTCATCTTTTTACTGGTGACCATGCATTCTGTCTTCTTGCAGTTTATGCTTAGTCCCTCCTTCTTGCTCTTCTTCGCTACCTTCTGTGGGAGGTTTTGTATTTTCTTTTCTGTGTCTGCTATCAGCACTGTGTCACCTGCGTATCTTATGCTGTTAAGATTGTGGCCACCAAAGATGAATCACGGTGGGATTTCCAATTCTTTCAGAATTGCCTCACTGTAAAGTTAGCCATATATATATATACTACATCTACTTATTAAATATTTGCTGGTTTCTATATTTATTATTATTATTATTATTATTATTATTATTATTATTATTATTATTATTATTATTATTATTCATGATAATGATGATGATGATGATGATGATGATGATACCATAAATTAAATAATATTGTCTGCTGAATTATTTTTAAATTATTACTAAGAGAAATATTGGTAACACAGGGATTAAGCTAGAAAGAAAGAAAGAAAGAAAGAAAGAAAGAAAGAAAGAAAGAAAGAAAGAAAGAAAGAAAGAAAGAAAGACGTTTTTAACGTTTCCTACCAATACCACATAAATAATGGACTATTCCGGTTGCGTGGAAAGAGAGAAAAAAAACATGATTTGATTTCAGTGAGAAAGAAAGAAAGAAAGAAAGAAAGAAAGAAAGAAAGAAAGAAAGAAGCGTTCAACGGTTGTTTCAATAAAATGAAAAAAAGTTGTCAATTTCAGATCTATTCATTTCTACCCACTTCTTAAAATAATGACCAGCATTCATATTTTTGATTGTTATTGCAATATTTTGTTAAAATTGTTAGGCTCAAATATTTAACGATGGGATTGGGGAATT